GATCAAGGGGCTGAAGTTGTGGGTCAAGTTCATGCAGATTCTCCATCGAAAAATATGAACCATGGTAATGGTGAGCCTATTGGTGAGTTCATGTCTCTGATTCTTTTTGGGAGTAAGAATGATAGTTTCTCACCAGAGTATACAAGGGGTAGAGTTGGGAATTCCAAAAAAGGTGAAGGTTCTTGTAGCAAGAGGCTTAATTTAGATTATATTGATGAGGGTGTTCACATTTCAAAGGAAAAGAATGATGATCAGGATGGTTCAACTGATGTTCAGGAGGCAGCAACTTCTTTTCATATTGATGAGATGGATGGTGTTAGGGAGGCTGCAACTGTTGTTGAAGAGGCATCAACTGTTGATGAAGGATGCTACAACACCCCCCTGTTAATAATGTTGATCAACAATTGAATGAGTTATTTGATAACCTTATGGAAAATTTGATTGGGAGTGATGAGGATAATACAAAGTATGAAGGGGATGGAGAATATGAAGAGGGTAATCAAGAGTATGAAGTGGATGATGAATCTCAAGAAAGTGATCCACAATATGAAGAGTATGATGAATCTCAAGATAGTGATCAAGAGTATGAAGAAGATGAGAAACAAATAGAAGATGAAGATCATGTGGATGACATAATGGATGTTGACAACAATATTGGAAGAAACTCAAATTTTACTTTCATAAGTGACAGGCAAAAGGTAAAGCTGGAAGTTGTTTTTAAATATTTGGTCATTTAAAGTGTGGTTTTTAGTTAATTCTAATGATTGACAATTGATTCATGCAGGGTTTACATACTGCAGTTGATCAATTGTTTCCTAATGTTGAGCATAGATATTGTATCAGACATATTCATGACAATATGAGGAAAAGATGGAGGCAAACAGAGTAGAGGGACCACTTATGGAGGTGTGCATCAGCTACCACCATTCCTGAGTTTGAACATTTGCTGAAGGAGTTTAGTCAGTATGATAAGGAGGCATGTGAATGGTTGAAGCAAATTCCTCCTGCACATTGGGCAAGGAGTCATTTTTCAGGTAATTCTATATATTCCAATTTGGTCCTTATGTCTTTCACTTAGTGAACTGTTATACTTGTATGTTAATTGTATTAAATGTTTTTTAATGGTAATGTACAAACAGGAAGAGCAATTTCTGATGTGTTGATATCAAACATGTGTGAAGTGTTTAATGGGAAGATATAGAAAGGAAGGGATAAACCTGTCATTGGATGTTTAGAATACATAAGGGAGTATCTAATGAAGAGGATATGCAACGTCATGAAGGAAATGAAAAAGGCTAAAGGTCCACTAACACCCACAGCAACAGACATCCTAGCTGCAAGAAAAACAGTTGCTTCACAATACATTGCTAGGTGGAATGGGGGAGACAAGTATCAAGTCACAGGAGCTTTGCAGGATCAACATGTGGTTGATGTTAGGAACAAAACATGCACTTGCAGAAAATGGGAATTAATTGGAATTCCATGCAGACATGCAATTGCAACTCTGAATGAGATGAGTAAAGTGTTGGATTAGGTATCTAAGCCCATAACTATAATTGGTATGTACTTGAATTGATAGCAGCACAGTCCTTTTGGGTTGCCCTCAACCTAGCAACTGGACAAGGAAATTATGAAAGGAGAGATATTAATTTATAAGATTAATAAATTAATATATATATATATATAAATGATTTATTAATATGTTAATGGATTAATATATTAATTAGAAATCATTATGTTTAATTAATTGTTAGCCAGAAATTAATCAGAATTGATTTTGGGGTTAAAAGAATTAATTATAAAGTGCAGGGACTAGTTTGTAATTATCTAATAGTTGAGTGGAAGGCTCTAGAACCCCCTTGGAAGAGGGTGGACGAAATCTTTAGGGGAAACCCTAATAATTTCGTCCATAGGGGCTTGGATAAGGCCCTTGGGTTTGCTTAGGCCCTAAGCAAAGGATAACTAGGGTTTCCCTTAAACCCTAAATCCCTCAGCTATATAAGGAGCCTCCTGGTTCATGTTTTTGGTCACTCATTCTTTGGAAGAATACCTTAGCCGAAATTACATACTCCCTCCCCTCTCTCTTCTTCTACTTTCCTTCTTGCTAGTCATTGGGTGTGATTCCATTAGAGGCATTACACTTGTGGTGCTAAAGCTTCCAAGAAGATCAAGATCAAGATCAAGAGGATTATCAATTGTTTGCTATAACAATTGAAAGGTATGTAAACCCTAAACCCTAGTTTGTTAATTTCGAAATTAGCCTCTCTCCTCTAGGGTTCTTGTTTTGCAATTCAAAGTTGTATGTTCAATAGTTAAAACATAGATCCAAAGTAGGTTGCATGTGAACTTAGGAATTGTTTTCTAGTTTATTTGTTGTACCTAAAACCCATCATAAAGACCCAGAGGCTGAGCTTGACATTTACAAATGGGTTCACAAGGTGTATTTTCTAGAGACATGGAAAAAGGCTTATTCTTTTAAGGTGGAGCCAATTAAGGGGAGATCCATGTGGCCCAAAAGCGAATGTCCCACAAAGCTAATCCCTCCTCCACATCGCACTCAGGTGGGAAGGCCTAAGAAAAAAAGAAGACAAAGTGAGGGTGAAAGGTTAAGCAAAAAGCAGAGGGCAAGTCAAGGTGATGGAGTGAATGCTACACAAGAAGGAGGTTCCCAAAAACCAACAAATGATGGAGTGCGGAAGCTATCAAGGAAGCATATCAGTGTTACTTGTAGCAAATGCAAGAACACGGGACACAACTCTAGGACCTGTAAAGGGCAAGGTGGGAATCAGTCCAAGAAGTAATGTGTCATGCATGCATGGGGTTTTCTGTGATTTTGGCTGGTTATGAAAACTTGATTGTTATGTTTACAATATTTTGTTGAAAACTTTTGGTTGGTTGTTATGAAAACGTGGTTGTTATCTTAGGTATGGTAATGTGTCCCTTTTGGTCATGTTTAGAATCTTTGGTTGTTATGTTTAGAAACTTTGGTTGTTATATTACAAATCTTAATGATATATGCATTTTGGTTATGTACAATTGGTTCTAATATATACATTTTGGTAATACATTCATACCATTTCTATTCATATGTTAATTCTGATACATTCATACCATTTTGGTAAAACATTCATTACACTTATATCATAAAATTGTACATATATCATTAACATCATAAGTCACTACAAACATGATCACATAAAATTACAACAAAATGACCAAAACACCCTTCACAGTATACCCTACACAAACCAAATACAGAAGAAGACAATCACAAAAAAAACCAACTTCCAAACAGGTACGTTTTCAGCTTCAAATTGTCATCCTTCAATGCTTTGCAATATGCGACCAACATGTTGTTTCTGCATATCAATCCATTGCATTGATCCTGTAGCATGTTAATACTTCTAACCAACTCATTGCACCGCTCCTGCACTAAATTCAAATTTCTTAGCAGACCAGGTATGATGGCTTTAGACCTAGCACACATTGGGGGATCAAGCCACCCGATAAACCCACAAACGGAATCATTCATAGGGCATGCAAAAAATCTCCTTCCTGGATTCAGAAGGGTCCAAGACGTTTTCACCACAACAACTTTTCCACAAAAACATAGAACCATTTTTGTTGTAGCAGAGCTCAAGAAGAAGAAGGGTAGAAGAAAAGAGACGTTGGGGAATGTTGGGGAAGAAGATCACAGGAAGTGGGGATATTTAAAAGGCATTAAGCCAAAAAACGGTTATGCAAAAATGGTCCCTAACATATGAAATTACGAATTTACCCTCGCGTATGAGGCACATGAGGAGGCTTAACAGATCCTACTTAACGAGAGTTAAGTCCAGGGACCAAAACCACATACAAATCACTCCAAAAGGACCATGGATCCAAAAAACTCGTGGTTTGGACTAAAACCCCAAAATTTTGCATACCACAGGGACCATTTTTGCAACTTTGTCAAATTAAAAATATGTTGTTACTTTCCATTCTTTAAATAGTAAATTACACGAATGGTCCTTATGGTTTAGGGTAATTTGCGTGTATGGTCCCTAACTTATTTTTTTAACTCAGAAGGTTCCTACTATTTGTTTTTATTACACTCTTGGTCTCTGTCTTACCTAAAAAAATATTTTACCCTTGATTTTTTATTTTATTTAAATAGACACACCTCCAACCCCACCCTCTCACCTTAACTTACATATCCCACCATTTTTTCCTATTTAAATAATAGTCTTTTGAGTAAATTACACGTATGGTCCCTATGGTTTAGGATAATTTGTACGTTTGGTCCCTAACTTATTTTTTTAACTCGGAAGGTCCCTACTGTTTGTTTTTGTTACGTGTTTGGTCCATGTCTTACCTAAAAAGACTATATTACCCTTAATTTTGTAATTTATTTAAATAAACACACCCCAACCCCACCTTCCTCACCTTACCTTACCTATCTCACCATTTTCCCTATTTAAATACTTGTCTTTTTAGGTAAGACAGGGACCAAGCGTGTAACAATAACAAACATTAGGGACCAAGCGCGTAACAAAAACAAACAGTAGGGACCTTCCGAGTTAAAAAAATAAGTTAGGGACCAAGCACGTAAATTACCCCAAACCATAGGGACCATTCGTGTAATTTACTCTAGTCTTTTTAGGTAAGATAAGGACCAAACGCGTAACAAAAACAAAAAGTATGGACTTTCCGAGTTAACAAAATAAATTAGGGACCAAGCGCAAATTAACCCAAACTATAGGGACCATTCGTGTAATTTACTCTTCTTTAAATAGAGGGATATGTGACGTTGACTTGATCATTTCATTATTTGTCAATTTATTGCATCATATTTTTAAAAAATTAAATAGATGATAATTCCTAAGTGGAAACAAAAACCACATCCATTAAAATTCAATAGCAATAATAATAATACACTGAATTAAAATCTACAAGTAAATCCCTATGTACTTAGATTAATGCTGAAAGTACAAGTGCTGTAATGTGTGCCGACTTTTTGTCTAGGATATGGGGCACACATCCGACCCATAATTACCTCTTATCGGATCAAATCGGGTTAAAGTATTCACCCCTCGAAACATACTTCCTACCGCCATACAATCTGCCGATCGCCGCCGCCCTCCACCACCACTAACCTTATACTCACCTCCTGCAACTCTCACCGCTTTATGATCCGTACAACCGGAGAGAATACCAGGTCGTTTCTTTTGCTCGTCTTTGTGAATGTGATCCGTTACCTGAGGTTTCCGGCCGGAATTTCTCCAACCACCAACACCTGTTCTTACCTCCTCGTAGTCGGAAGCCACCGAGAAATCAGCGGCGCTCGCCGTTACGACGCTCCACTGGATGCTGACTTCGCTAGGGGCGTAACAGTCTGATTCCGACGCACGGTGAGGCAAAAACGAACTGTTTCCGGTCGTTGAAAAGCTTTCGATCTCAAACAAATCGGAGCTGGAATCACTGTCAACGTCGTGGTTGTACTTTACGCGTGACGGAATGTACATTTCGTCTTCAGTTGGAATGTCCAACTCCCAATCATTCAACAGGCTTATTTTCCTTCCGAGGTTTAAACGTCCGCCATTGTTATCTCCATGAATTTTACCCGCCAAATTTCCAGATTTCGAATTCGAACTCGAATTTGAATTGTGATCGTTGGAGTTCAATACAGGGAAGCTAAAGTAATCATTTCTGGTGCTTTTCTCTGATAATTTACTTGACGACGAGTCAGTTTTCTTGTTCGAGATTTCTTTCGAGTGGATGAATCTTTTCTCACTGATTTGAGTCGATTTTTTGTCAATACAATTGCATCCAAAACGAGAAAGAAAAATCCTGGTTTTGCTTCCTTTTTCGCTCTTCCCAGGAGTCTGCATCGTACGTGGCAACAACCCACTACGACTATTGCAGCTGACATTTGATCGAACACTTGGTGTGTGCATGTTTATTCGATCGGGTCTTTCTTTCCCACTTATTCCATGATCAAGTTCTTCAATTTTGTCTTCCTCGTGATACATCTTGCTCGCTGTATTAGCAATAGCACTATCGATGAATCTCCGATCATTCTTATTATCCACATCTTCAATTTCCCCTTTGAAGTACTTTTCCGCACCAAAAACGCCAATTTCTTCGTCTTCTGATTTCTTACGAAGTGGATAATTTTGATCCTTTTGGTTTTGGATATCCGCGGCTTGATTGGTGAGTTTTCGAATCATGTTTTCTTCTGCTTTATTCAAGTAGGATGAGAACGAGGCATCTCGAAAACTATTTTGCGTTTGGAGTGTAAGATTTTTTTCAAAAGCTGAAACAGAAGCATAGATTTCCATGGAAATTCGTAGCAAAAAACAAGAAGAATACAGAAAGATAAAAGATTTGGTGGGGATTGAAGCAACTTAAAAATTGAATAACAGGGAGTGATCTTGGAAATTGTGAGATTTGAATGAAGAAGAAGAGGAAGTCGAATAACAACTTGGCCAAATGCCAACCATTTGTAGGTGGTGGGAGTTATTATGCGAAAGATGAGTAAGGTCCACATGCATATGTTCATAACTCATAGATTGGTTAAGTGAATTTCCCATTCATGAATCATGATTTTCGTTGTCTTTTATTGACAATTTATATAACACACTAAAAAGTTACCTACTCGTTAACCAATTTATTCGATTTATTTGTTTTGTTGTCGTTTATACCTAACTACCTATATATACAATTTATTTTGATATTATCTTTTATTCCGCCGATATTCCTGTTGAAACTCATAGTATTCACAATGTAAATAATATAAGAGTTGAATACACTGATGATTAAGATTGAATAGGAGTTGAATGGTACATGTAATGAAGAAGTTGAATGATCTGGTTCAATGAAATAAATAAAATTATGATTATGATTGAATATGTGTTTAATGGGTTGTAAGTGTTATCGTATAGGTGTTTAATGGATTGTGGATGCCCTCACATTGATACAATAAGGCCAAGAGATGTGGTGCGGGAGCCGGAACTGCACCCAGCTACACTACACCGGGGGTGTGGTTCAGCCGGTGCGGGGAAAGGGTGAGGGGAGGCTACCCCTTGCTCTCTCTTCTCGTATGATTGACCAATAAAATTTTTTTTTCTGCTTTTGAATTCAACAGCTAGCCAAAAAAAACATTTTCCTTTTTTTTCAACATCAACGGCTACAAACAATAAAACAATAAATATGTATAAATTATTATTATTATTTTAATACATTTACCACTCCATAAATACCAAACAAATCTAACATAATTTTCACACTTATTTCTACACATTCTCTTAAAAAACTCACTTAAACACAATGTCATCATCGTCATCTTCGGCCTCCGATTCGATGGCGCAAGAAAAGACATTATTTTTCGGTTCCGTCATGGCAAAAACAGTGGCGTATTTCCAAAACTGACAAGGTCAAAGTTCACGTTCACGACCTCAAACAAGAAAACCTATGTTGAAGAGAGATCGCGAAGTCGGGCACAATCATCTTATAGAATACTATTTTGCAGATGACGAAATGGACGCTGAAAAGTTTCGACGGCGGTTCTGAATGAGGAAAGAGTTATTTTTACGCCTTGTTGGCGATGTGGAAGGCTGATTTCCATATTTTCAATTGAAGCGGGATGCAAAAGATGGGAGGAATGAGGGATCCAAATGTGATTTCTAGATCCGAGAGGTGCAATTCTTGGGTCATGTGGTTAACCAAGAAGTCATAATGGTTGATCCATCAAAGATTGATGAAGTAATGAAGTGGGAACGACCAAAAAAGTCCACTAAGATTCGTAGTTTACTAGGATTAGCTCGATATTACCGAAGGTTTATCCAATGATTTTCTTCAATAATTGCTCCATTGACAGCTTTAACCCACAAATGGGCTACATATACATGGAGTGAGAAGCACGAAGAAGCTTTTGAGAATAAAAATAAGCTATTTTGTGAAGCTCCGATTCTTTCTTAACCCGACATCTGGAGTTGGGTTAGGTTGTGTTCTGACCCAAAGAGATAAAGTGATAGCATATGCATCCAGACAACTAAAAGACCACGAGAAATGATACCCAACTCATGATTTGGAGTTGGTGACAATGGTTTTTGCATTAAAGATATGGAGGCATTATCTTTATGGCACAAGGTGTAAATATTTCACTGATCATAAGAGTCGCCAGTATCTCTTTAATCAGAAGGAATTGAACATGAGACAAAGACGTTGGCTAGAATTACTTAAGGATTATGACTGTGAGATACTTTACCACCCTGGTAAAGTGAATGACGTAGTTGACGCTTTGAGTAGAAAAATAAACCTGGAGAGAAAAAGGAAAAGGGCATTAAGAATTGAAATTGTCTCAACGATTATAGAAAGTATCGGGAAATCTCGGGAGGAAGCTTTTGAGGGAGATAACTGAATGGAAGAACATTTAAGAAAAACGTTAGTGTTCGGTACAAACAGTCAACGACTGAAGGTATTCCAAAACAGAATTTGGGTGCAAAGATGGGAGGAATGAGGGATCTTCTTATGGAAGAAGCTCACAAGACCATGTACTCAATTCATCCCGGAAGCACCAAAATGTATAGGGATCTGAAACCTTATTACTGGTGGCCGAAGATGAAATTAGGTGTCGCAAAGTATGTGGCTGAGTGTGTGACCTATGCAAGAGTTAAAGTGCAACATCAGAATCCATATGGGAGTTTGGAGCCTTTACCTGTACCCATGGGTAAATGCGAAGACGCCACCATGGATTTTGTGACCAAGTTACCCAGGACAAAGAGTGGTCACGACATGATTTGGGTAATCATGGATCAATTCACAAAGAGTGCACGCTTTATAGCGTCCAATGAGATATGGTCTATGGATAAGCTTGCAAATGTTTACGTGAAAGAGATAGTGTAACTTCACGGTGTTCTCTTGATCATTGTGTCAGATCGTGACAGACGTTTCACCTCTAGATTTTGGAAGAGCTTACAGGAAGAGATGGGTACAAAGTTGTGTTTAAGTACAACCTACCATCCACAGACTGATGTTCAGAGTGAAAGGACAATTCAAACATTGGAGGATATGTTGAGAGCTTGTACTTTGGAATTTCCCGGTAACTTGGATGAGTATCTACCCTTGGTAGAATTTTCTTACAATAATAGTTACCATTCGAGCATTAAGATGGCGCCTTATCATACGTTGGACGGTCAGAAATGTCATACTCCGTCTTGTTGGCTTGAAGCTGGAGAGAAGTAGTTTATGGGTTCTGAGATTGTTCATCAAACCACTGAGAAACTGAAAGCGATCGGGGAAAGGATGTTAGCAGCTCAAAATCGTCAGAAGAGTTATGTTGACAAAAAGCAACAACCGATTACGTTAGAAATCGGAGACCAAGTGTTGCTTAAAGTCTCTCCATGGAAGGATCTTATTAGATTTGGAAAACGAGGAAAGCTAATTCCAAGGTTCATTGGACCGTTTAAAGTTATTCAGAGAATTGGAAACCATGCTTTCAAGCTAGAATTGCCAGAAGAACTGGAGGGTATTCATAACACCTTTCATGTGTGTTATCTGAGGAAGTTTACGGGAGAAGTTCCCAATGTGATTCCACTTTCAGAAATGAGGATCGATAGTGAAACTTCACGGTGTTCCCTTGATCATTGTGTCAGATCGTGACAGTCGTTTCACCTCTAGATTTTGGAAGAGCTTACAGGAAGAGATGGGTACAAATTTGTGTTTAAGTACAACCTACCAACCACAGACTGATGGTCAGAGGGAAAGGACAATTCAAACATTGGAGGATATGTTGAGAGCTTGTACTTTGGAATTTCCCAGTAACTTGGATGAGTACCTACCCTTGGTAGAATTTTCCTACAATAATAGTTATCATTCGAGCATTAAGATGGCACCTTCTCATACGTTAGACGGTCAGAAATGGCATACTTTGTCTTGTTGGCTTGAAGTTGGAGAGAGGTAGTTTATGGGTTCTGAGATTGTTCATCAGACCGCTGAGAAACTAAAAGCGATTAGGGAAAGGATGTTAGCAGCTCAAAATCGTCAGAAGAGCTATGTTGACAAAAATCGACAACCGATTATTTTTGAAATCGGAGACCAAGTGTTGCTTAAAGTCTCTCCATGGAAGGATCTTATTAGATTTGGAAAAACGAGGAAAACTAAGTCCAAGATTCATTCGATCGTTTAAAGTTATTCAGAGAATTGGAAACCAAGCTTTCAAGCTAGAATTGCCAGAAGAACTGAAGGGTATTCATAACACCTTTCATGTGTTTTATTTGAGGAAGTTTACGGGAGAAGTTCCCAATGTGATTCCACTTTCGGAAAAGAGGATCGATGAGAATAAGAGGTTGATTGAAGAACCGGAAGCGATTGTTGACCGTAAGACGAAGAAGTTACAACGTAAGATGGTTGATTTAGTGCTTGTATGATGGAAACATACGTCTGGGCTGAACCTCACCTGGGAAACAGAAAGTGACATGAATAGTCGCTACCCACATCTGTTTGCTGATGCATGATTCTGGGACGGAATCATCCTAAAGGGGAGAGAATTGCAACGCCCGCGTTTTCTCGCTAGGATTTAAGAAGATGATATATTGTAATGGTCAATAATTGTAACCTCTATATGAAGTAAATAAAGAGAATTATTGAGTATTATGTGTTCTATGTGTATTTATATGTAGTATACGTGCTTAAAACGATATAATAAAATAAGAAATAAAATAAACGTCTTAAACAGACAAATAACTAGGACAAATAACCTTGATGAAATTCGAAGTATTCATGATGAGGATTAAGAGGATATAAGGAACTCTTAAATCGGGCTTAGAATGAAGAAGTTATGACTCGTTGAAGTTTCGCGTTCGACCCGATATAGCATCGAGTGTCGTAAATAGTGAATCAAAGATACATTGCTTATTAGCCTAAGTGATCTAAAATAAAGTCGTAGTAATCGTAAAACTTAGAGCGTGCATATAGAGAACGCCTAAATCTGACTTCATATGAGTAAGTTATGATTTTTCGAAGTTTCGGTGCACCAATGCGGACACATAAATCGAATTTGAGATCAGTTGATTTTTAGCCGAAACAATCAAAATGAGAATCGAAGATCTCGTTAATAGGAGTTTGTCGACATAAAGGCAGTCGGAAACGGACGTCGAACGAGAGAGTTATGAATTTTTAACGGACTTTAACAGTCTAAGTTTGTTAAAAATATAACTTTAAAAATAAAATCAAAATTAGCCGACGAAGTCTAAATGAAAGTTGTAGATCTCGTTGATAGCTATGTGTGGATATAAAACCCGTAAAAAACGGAGCTCGTATGAAGAAGATGTCACACCCC